TCTGTTAAAAGCAAACAACGCGAACGTTCTTGCAATCAGAAGTGAAACTCGTTTGCACTAAAACGAAGCAGTTCCGTAGAAATGGCACCCTATACTTTATCCGAGGAATTCTCATTTTCCGGTCGTGTCACGGCTTCCCAACGCGCACGTACTTTCTGTCGCGCGAGTGGCTAAGTCGCGATGGATGCCATTGATCAGAACGTTCACGGTATCCCGGTGAAAAGACAAACGGCGTTACGTAGATCCACGTCGAGACGGGGTGAAAGTGTCGAGCAGATTTTTCGGCGAGCTCGCGCAATCGCTTCGACGCCAGGCGTCTCCGGGTGAAATTCGTGGGCGGTCGGGACGGATAACGTAAGCGTCGTTACCGGCGACAACCGCGGCCCGGGGATAAATCGAGGTGAAAATTCCATCGCGGAATACGAAAAACGAGGGAGAAACGCGAAACTGTCACGAGTCGGTGCAGACGTTGCCGGGCGGTTATGGTCGCCGAGACTTATGACAATGGAGTCGCATCCACCCCTTGCGCCAGCGTTGCATCTTGCCGATCGCGGGAAGGAGTGGCACGACCGTGGCTCTTTCTTCTCGAAAAGTCGTAAGAATCCGCGAAGCTTCTGGGAAACCGATACGAGCAATTCTCCAGCTTTCGCGATGGAATTATTTTTACGCGCTAGTCAAAATTTCCTTGTATCTCAAGAAACAATCCTTCGTTCGAAGACTAGCAGATTGTAAAGTTTGTAAACGATTGGATGGATGTCCAGTACATAGTCGAGAATAGAAATGATAGATTCGTTCGTACTCTTTCGACGGGAAGAATCCAAATAATAAACATACTGCGGATCGACGAAGAATAGTACAAGACGAACGCATTGATACATCTACATCACAAAGAGGGATGGGGCGAGGTGAGGGGGAATATATGACGTACTGTCCAACAATATCATCTTTTACAGGGCATTTTGAATTATTACTATGCTGACATGCTATTCAAAATGCCCGGGAGAAGATGATATTGTTGGATACCACGTTATACATAATCCCTCTTCTTTATGGTACAGATGCATGAACGTATTCGCCTTGTGCTGTTCTTCGTCGATTTTTGCTCGATACGTAGCGTATCTATCTTCTGGAAAAGTATAAACGTACTCGTACTGTTTATTTTTTATCGCGAAGAATTTATTTCAGTCCTATAAGAAACTAAATTTTTCAAGTGTGTTTTGTACCATCTGCTAAGTGTAGCTACAATGTATCACTGCATTAGGTATTCAAGTGCTTCGCAAATGCTACAATATTGGCTGCGATTTAGGGCAGCATGATCCGTTAAACAGATTCGAAACACGAAACTGCATTAAGTTATCGATGTACCTGGTTTGATTATCATTGTTACGAAGATTCGGTGGATTACGTCTATTCAAAATTTGGGGGGATGGAACCCTTTCAAAAGCGGTCAAATTAATCAAATATGTAAAGTAGAATTTTTCAATATTTTGTTTTATTTTTTTAGAAATTCCACGTTTATGATTTTGATGAAATTTATTTTAATTACAAATAAACCTATTTATCTGTATTTTTACAGTATTTCTTTTAACCCTTTAAGGAAGGAAAAATGTAAATTTTACCTTGCTTTTATGTAATGCACCATTTTTACACCGTTTTTTAACCCTTCAATTTTTCCCCTGAAAAAACTAATCGGCTTATCTTTTGTTTCTATTCCCCCCCAAAAAATTCAGTCAGTCTACACGAAATTTTAACGATCCAGCGAATGCTGCGAGAAATATAGTTTCTCCAAATTACAATTCGTTTAGCTATTTCGTCTGATTCGACTAAAAAGTACAGTTAACGTAGAACATTGGCAAGCAACTATCATTCTATTTGCAACGTTGATCGATTCTCTGCGATACGAAGGTCCTTTAGATGAAAGCTTCTCAGGACTCGAAAGATACAGGATTTACTGCGTTCGTCGACGAGTTTCGCCGAAACTTTAGCATTCGTTTCACGCAGGCCAGCGAAGATTAATGCAAAAAGCGTCCGACAGGCGCGAGAGAGATTACACCGCGTTAAACGTAACATTAAACAGCTGTTCCTCGCGTTCGTTGCCTCTTTCCTTTATTCTCCGTTTTATTTCGAGCCGTAAACATCCGCCGGTTAGCGAAGCCGAGACTTATCGCGAAGGTGTTGCATCTTCTCCCGAGCATCGGCACATTTTCTCGCCGTAAAAAGGTGTGACTACATTGAAGCGAGGGGGTACTGGAAGTTAACAACGTCGTGTACACTCGCGAAACGGCCTCTTCTTATTTCTCCAGGGATGTTTCTCGGACGGCGAAAGATTTTTCTTTCCCGCGCGCCTCGAACGGTTACTTCTTCCCTTCCGGGCGCGGCGTGCTCTCTTCTCGCCAGTCTTTCTCTCTTCGGTGTGTATCGATTTCCTCCTGAATCGGTCTTCGTGATCGGAATTCAATCAGTTTCTTACACTTCATTCGCGCGATAAATGAATCCCATTCGGTCACGGTTAAATTTTTAGAACGTAATTCTGCTGTAAACGTCAATTCATGCTACTGAAAATAAACTTACATGACAGAATATCATGTACAAAGATAATGCATGATATTGCTAGTGTTTAAAAAAAATTAGAAAGGGTTAAAATACATTTTTGTAGAATGAACTTTTAATAGATCGCTAAATTAAAATTGCAAAGTATTTAATAAGCTCGAGGGTAGTAGTAAGCTTACTTTACATCCCCATTCGCTATTTTCCGTTATTGGGAGGGGGAACATCGTTACAGCGCTGTCGTTGTTCCAATACGGTTCCATGAAAACCTAACAGTGTTTCGCTATACATCTTCCGTGTCGTAGCAACAGCCAATCAAATTTATCGTCGGGACAATAGGATACGTAATGGAGGTCCGGTTGTTTGCAGATCGGATCGTGTTTGTCCGTTCATCGAGTGTAGCAGAAAACTTTACCCGTAAAACAGAGTCCGTGTACATAGACGTCGTCACGCTCCTGTTCCCTCGGATATGTCCGTAAGGAGTCTGCCCGCAATTCCCCGAGCGATTCATTCCACCAATGAATATCCATAACCTTGGCGGGTCCGTAGATCACTCGGCCGCTTGAAAGCATTGTAGATCATCCGCCTCGTCCGGGATCCCCATATTCGGTTCCCGGTCTCAGCGACGATTTGTCTGGTTCAGCGCGATTAGACTCTAAGCACGTCTCTCTTACTATTTCAACCTCTTATTTTCGTTAAAAGGTACGCTCGTTGCTATAACAAATAAACGACCACCGCCACTTAATCTTAACGTACGATTTAATGTCATTTTTCATTTTCTTTCAATTTTTTCCTACAACGAATGGCCACGAATATCTCGAGAATGTTAAAATGTGTTGATTATATCGTAAGGGGTGTATGTGTGTGTTATCGTTGGCGTCGATAGGAGTGTTTAGTCTAAGCTAGAGTAGGTATCGAGTGAGGTGTTTAGGTTTAAGCTGAAATACGTTTTAGGGACTGCGTCTCGAACGCGCGTTTTGTTTAGATCATTATCGTAAGATAGGAATAAGGAAGGGTCGACTTTCACTGCAGGAACGTCACTCTGTATCGAACGTTAGTCGAGAGAAGTCACAGTTTTACGTTTTATGTTCTTTATGTTAAATAGTTAGTGAATATTAAATAATATAATTATATCGTTACGTTTAGTGTTCGCGTATTTGAATCCGTCCACACGCCTCTCTGACCATCCTCGACAATCCTTACAATATAATAAAATTAAATTCGATTCTATTCTAATAATTTGTTAAAATGTTAAAATCCAATACTTGTTTATTTCCGTGGGAAAATCTATTGTTTCCGTTTCAATTTCACACGCGTTCGCTTGTGATATGACGGCGACACGTGTTGATAATATCGAAAATAGGATTAAAAATGTTTTTGATCATTGTAAAATCATTTCACACCTGCAACCCCTCGTGTGAATTGGCCCTTGAACCAAAATGCATTTGACAAAACTGCTCTAGGCACTTTCTCTCTGTATCATTTCGAATCGTTTTAATGGACCATGATGGTTGAGCTCGAAATGTTTCAAAAGTAGCCCTTTGTTTGCAAAATTGCAATCGAGAGGTTTACTGGAGAGTGAAACGTTTGTTCAATGTGACCACATTGCAGAATTAAACTGTACGAATTTTGAGTAGCAATTGGTCGTATTGCTTTAAACGCTACAACAAACAATTTCATGGGAAAGTAGTAACAGACGCGATGAATCAGACATGAATATTATTCAAATTAAATAATTAAATAATCAACAAATTGGTATTCTTGATTTTCATCTAGAATCTCATTAGAATTTTCCCAGAGGTGGCCAAACGCCCCGTATAAAATTAACTTGAAAAATCCATTTATTAGTGGTATAAATATTGAAACCCAACCGAGAGAGATTATAATATAGTTTATTAGAAAAATCTGAAAGGCAGCGCCTTTTTGCCCCGACATAAACAACTTGCTCCTCGAATATTCATTGGGATCGAAACACGTATTAAAACGTGTAGTATATGTATACAATGTATCGAGGAATCGTCGAGTTTGCTGCGTTCGACCGAGAACGCCGGCAACGTTGGAAAAAACAAACGCAAACGGACAACGAAGATATTAGCAGTCGCGTGGTAACGTTCGGTGTGTGAACATGTATTTTTATGCATTTATACTTAGTGTGTTTTTCTAATTTAAATATATATATATATATCCACCTATTATTACATCAGTGCTTCGTTCCTGACTTTCCCGGAGAAAGACTACTACAAACGTGACTAGTTTCGAAATAAAATCAATGCTGAAATAAATCGAGGATAATGTACCTATAACGTTCATTCTCGGCACAGTAAACAGCGATGTTTCGATAGATGTCTTTCGGTGGTATTACCGACCTTTCGATAGCAATTGCAATTTTATGGTAATCGACGCCATGCCGTAAATCGTGTTCATGATGTGACGAGGTTCTCGTTTCGTTTCAGGTGGCCTGGATGCTTTTCGACAAGAGCGCTATCCTGACGGTACAGCATCACGTTATTACCAGGAACCCCAGGATAACCGTATCACACGATAAGCACAGGACCTGGTACCTACATATCAAAGAGGTACAAGAGGAGGACAGGGGAAGGTACATGTGCCAGATTAATACGGCAACTGCGAAAACACAGTATGGCTATCTGCACGTCACCGGTAAGTCTTCCACTTTCTCTTTTTTTTTTTTTTTTTTTTTCTTCGCTTTCAACACGATCGTACGATTGTTTGGAGGACGAAAGGTCCGAGGGTAGAAGTGGCGCGAGCATCACGTGACTGCTTTACGACTGATACATCGCTGACATCGCAAATGTCGCGAAGAAACGTTTTGCGATATCGGTCGACACGAATTACATTTATTCTGGCACACTCGGAAAATTCTGGCAATTCTTTAAGTAAAATAAGATAATAAATATTCTGTTCGTTAACTTGGAATCCTTTTTGTGCAGTTGAAATAATCGTAAAATAGTCAGTCTCGTTTCTCAGTGAGCTTAGGCAGTCTTGGAAAAGTAATGAGCGTGCTTCATTTCGTTTCATATCTGTTTGCGTTATTATCAGCATGGTTTGTAAACATCAAACGTATCCCGTATCCCATTCGGTAACCAACATTCCCACTCTCAAACCTTTGGATTGCAATTTGCATAAGCATTATAATAATCCTGCTTTCGTTTACATTCTCTTTCGCGGTGTAATAAACCCACGTTCTTCCGTGTCGTATGGTTCTTCAATTACATAATTGTCCGACGTTCGTGTAACAAACGCGCAAAATGAAATATCGACAACGCTATGGTATTCGAAATTTAATAGTCTCCGTTGAAAATATTTCCTAGCAATCACCAATATTAGTAATACCGTGCAAGTGATAATATTTTGTATAACTCGTGTAAATATTAAGAATCGTATGCTCGCGTAGTACACATCATAAAATAACAAACTATGGGCTCCGTGCAAAATATTTATACCGTAATATTTTGAAAATTTTTAATACGTACGCGTTAGTACGTTGTACATGGGATCGAGACTTGTTTTTATATTATCGATATGTTTACGTTTGAAATTAATATCTTTGTACGAAACCATTTTAAGGCAGTTTTAACTCTTTGGTCAATTATTCACCAACTGTTTATGTAAGAAAGAAAGTTTTAAATTTAACTTTCAATACATTGTGTTATTGATACTTTTGCTATGGAAGTAACTGGAAACGAGATATTCGAATGAGCATAATTTTAAATAATCCTTTTTGTAATTTTCCCATCGCACTTTTTCTAAATAATTGTACAATAATTCAACAAGTTTTCTGTTATCGTCGATTCGAGTGGTCGAGTTAGGTAACCCCGTGTACACAAAAATCAATAACTGAATTTTTCATTTGGCCCACTGCAAAAACAGTTCTGGCAATCAGTCCTCGCAAACAAACGATAAGAATTCAACGCGTGGGATTGTTGTTGGTGGCTTGGGCGTGGAAAGATTGGGAATTTGGAATTTCGAGGTTCGTAAAGCAATATACACACGTTCCTGGTCGGAGAACGATTGTATTTCCGTTCCTGAGTAGGTGTTCCGTGCGAGCCCAGGAGGATCCTTGGTATTCCAAAGGGGAGAAAGTATTCCGCTCTGCTCTCGGTTCGAAAGGACAGGGCAATAATAATTTAATCAGCAGAGGGTATCTATAAGTGTAGAAAGCGCGGGCGACGGGTCGGGGAGCCGGTCTTCGTTCTGCCATTCGGGGCGAACATATTAATATCTCGAGTTTTGACGTCTGAAGTCGTCGGCGGAGACTCCGGTGCCGGGGATACCGGAACGCGTCGGCGGGAGGGGATGTTGCAGCAGTCGGAGGAGTAATCAGAGGGCTAGATTAATTGTTTCCACGGGACTCTTGGTCTAGCGTTGCACAAATACACGGAAGACTTCGCGGCACACTTCGTGATAATGCCGACGGAACAGACACAATGCCGTAGACCAGCGATAACTCGGGGGGCCCCCACTCGACTCGAGCCAGCGCATGCGAGGGAAACGTGTAACGTGTGTAAATATTCCATACGGGCTGAGTCACTTAAAGTTACCACCTGAGGCGTTTACCTTCGTCCTGAGCTAATAAACGGTTTTCAGGAGTTTGACGATTTCGAACGCCGGCGCCCCGGCTGGATTCCCGTGTAAATTATCCGGCGGAATCGCGGCCGCGGTGCGTCTCGATTCTTGCCGCGTATCTCGTGGTTAGCGTTTTCAGGAACAGAGTGACGTGTCCTCGCTTGATCGCCTTAACACTTTCACAGTCGGACAAAAACGGGTAGCTAATATTTGCAAATTCTATTCTTGTATTTGGAAAATCTTTCAATGTATCGTGTTTGGTGCAACTACCACTCCCTGCAGTTATTTCCAAAATACTCCAGATTATGATATCGAATAACTGTATGTAACCTATCGCCGGTGCTCGCGTGAAAATATCGAAACGCGTTCGCTACCTGGTGTGTACAAGTTTCGTAACGTTATCGGACGTATCGTCAATAATACACTGGCAATCGCGTCTGCCAATCAATTTTCTGTCCAAGTCGCGCTCCTCGAAAGGTCCTTTCCCTCCCCTGATCGAGATACACGTAATAACAGCTTTCAATTTACGATTGAATTCGATGATAATCCATGAATCGGAGATAACGATAACCCGATGATCGCACCGTTTTATCCAATATCGTGTACACGCTCGTCTTCCTTTCTCAGCGTTTCATCTTCCCCTTTACGCCCGGCATACCGTTATCTCCGTCACGCTCGGCTCGCTCTTTTTCTCTCTGTCCTCTCGTAAATAAGGCGGAAGCCGGGGACTATCCGACTTTTATTCGATTTAGAGGCGAGTCGGCGAGCTTAACCAGTAAAGAAGCTCGAGTGGAGCCGAGAAGCGCACACTGCGGAACGTGACGCTGAGCTTTCGACCCTTGCCGTACATTTTTCGACGCTCGTGTGTCCTGCTCGCCCTTTCTTCTACTACAGACCGCCCTTTCCGTCCATCCTCGCCCGCCACTCGACTACTATACGGATTCTGTTGCGTTTTTACCGGTTATCGAGCTCCTGCCCGGGGACGATTGGACGAGTTGTTGTCGGTTCAATTGCCGTTCCTTCCTAACGAGCAGAAGGACCGGTGTTATGATACTCGCGAGCCTCTATGCAACTCCGTATCTGTTTCTGCTTCCCGACGATCCCTCCGTGTCCTTTTTATCGGAAAGTCAATAGAGACGCGCAACCGGATACGACGAGAATCGACGTCGACGGAAAAATAAGATCTCCGCGACAAATCCAGCGGATCGACACCCTTTCCGTTTGAGTATTTTGACAGCTGCGCAAGATTCCCAATGTCTAGGGACACCCTGTACAGTGAAACCTGAGGTAATCTACCTGAAACCAAAATATAAAGCTACCAAATAAAATTTTCTCGCATCGTGCAAGCGATAGGTCTATAAATTTGAGTTCCAAATGAGTCCTTTCGTCTACTGCTTTAGACAGAGGTACTATAGTCCTATGAAACTCTATATAGAACAGTGTATATATACATAAACTGTGCCTAAACATGTCTGATTTCTCGAAACACGAATCTAAGCTTCAGAAGTCGAATCGATAGACTTCGATTCTCAGTTTAAAGAAAGTTACTCGACGCGTTAGAGTACTTAATTACCCTTTTTCCGAGAGTACCGAAGAACAGCTAATTGATTGGAAAGTTGAGTGATCCTTGTTCGCGAAGATTGCCTTCGAAGCCCCGAAAACAGAAAGGAGAGAGGTGTAGGAAACGCACAGGTACAGGTCTTCGTGGTAGTAGATTCGAAACACTCGTTAACGAAAGTATTTGTACATTTTTTTTCCCCCGGCTGACGCGTCAGAAATTTTTCCTTCCAGCCCCGTTCCTAAACGGGCGTTTTTTCTGCCTCTGTCGCGTTTCACAAAAACTCAAAAGACTCCGGCATTTTCGCTTTCATCCGGCCATCAAATTTCACGACTCGAATTCAAGAATACTCAAAGCCAGGCATAATGTGGCACAAAGGGAATTCGTAGAGCGTCATGTATACATTACGTATTGTATCACTGAACGCGTGTCGTCGCAGCCGTACATCATATATTACACCGGCTCGACAACCGCATTCCCTAAGGGAGCAGTGTAATTAGTAATTTGTAGTTCCAGTGGCTTCATTCACCGAGGCACATAACAGTCATTTCGACACGCGTTTCTCCGTCGTTGCCTTTGTGTGCGAATCGCGCTCCGTTAAGTCTCGGAGTGCATTACTCCGTTCCACGGAAAGCTACGAAAATGTCTAAATATCAGCCAGAAGAACTTTTTCTCTCTCGTCTCCTTTAATTTCCATCCCTTCAAAATCGCGAAAGCAACCAGTTTCACCAGACATTTTTAGTCGATCGATTAAGAAATGTAGAATCGAATTCTCTGCAAGATTTATTTAAAATACTACAGGAAATTTATTTATTTTATGTGTTAATTTACTATTCATCCATAAATGTGAAATGATAAATTACAAAAACAATTTTACATCTACATTTAGCTTGACAAATTATGAATCTATATAATATATAGAGTATTTTTCCAAGTTGCATAAAAAAAATTTCCTTTTTAAAATGTTTTAACATCGCTCGTACATTTGAATGATTTATTTCGCACCATTTAAAGTAAAGCCTTGTCTCGCGATAAACGTCAACAAAGAAGTAGGAAAAATTCCAGCGTCCGGGGATAGTTGTTTATATTTTCGTCAGCGAATCGTCGACTTGAATCATTCGGACTTTCGGCACCAGTAAACAACGTATGCCCCGTTTGAGCAGTTGATCGTGTTTCCGTTCCTGACGAGGACACTATTCCTGTTTTTCCTTTCCTATCCTTTTCTTCTTCTTACGGTCCTCCTTGTCGACGAATAAATTCCCCCGTTTCTTCCGAATTTCTCGAACTACGCGAACATGTATTTTCGAACTGCATTCTGGACGCGTCGATTTGTCTCGTTTCGTTGCTTGTTTCGACACCTTTTTGCTTTGGGTAAATGTTTGTCCAAGCTGTCGTCGAGTATTTGGCAAACACGTTTGTCCGTGTCGAAAACTGATACGTATCAATCGCGAAATATTTAGAAATATCTCTTTAGTACGTTAAAAATCTGTTATATATGTGATATATATTTCAAGCA